CCACTGCTTATACAAACACCATAGCACTTTCATATCTAGAAGATTTGCTCAAAACAACTGGAAAATGTCAAAGAATTTGTTCAAATCTGGTTTCACCTAAAGATCCCAACTAGGAAGTTACAGAAAACTTTCTTCGATGTTAAGAAGTTTTGCTCCATCTTCAAGGATGCATTCAGCAATGCACAAAAAGATTATTTTGAAACACTGGAAATGCTGTAAGCTCTGACCAAAGCACAGCTCTTGTATTACGATGCAAATGGCAAAAATGCTGGGGTTTTTTAGAGGTCTTAACTCAGAAGAAATCTTAGTTTTATGGCAGGGGTCCTGGGGGGACTTTATGATGCTTGTAGCCCCATTAGTCTGTTAGCCAGAAGTAAGTTTTGCACATTTAAGACTGGTTCCAAGAATGAAGGAGGGGCAAGAAGAAGCACACAGTTTCTGTACAAATTTCTGTACAATATCTTCCCTGGAATGAGTAATTTCCTCCAGTTATCTAGCTATGTTTTTAAATATGGTGCCAAAATATGTGTATGCCAGTATGTGTCTAAGTAATTGAAATAAAGAGACTACACGCAGGATGACTAACACAAAGGGCTAAAATGAATCTTGCTGTAAGTGCAAAATGTTCCTGTACAATCTTTCTGTCAAATGTCAATTAATTTTACTTTTTTCTTTCAACATTCACAGGAAGAGATCAATCAACTTAAAAGGCAACCTGTAAAAGGAATTATCTTCAATTCTTCCATTAATTCATTCAGTTTTTCTTTACTTTTTAAAATCTTACTGATATCCAGCTATCACAGAGGCACAATTCAGATCTCACCTGTGTAGAAAAAGAGAAATGTGAAGTGCATATGCCAAACATAATAGGACAACTGGAGGACTTCTCTTTGTCCTTGCAAGAGAAGGACTTTTTATTTTGCTCCCTAAACAAGAAGTGATGGGAAGGGTTGGACCAGGAAATAGTGGCCTGGGCTAACTGGCCGATTTAAGGTTGATTGGTTGAAAGGTTGTCCATTTAAGGGGTTAGGAGTCACAAGGCTGAAGTTCAACCCATTTTTCACTCTCTGTAAATAATTCTCAAGATCTAAGTTTAGAAGCCTAGGGAAATTCAGGGAAACTAGATGGTTTCTGAATTATCAGTGGAGACTGGCAAGTGCTTCTTCAAAGCTGCTTTTGTGCCTCTCCATTAATTTTAAGAGTAAGAGAACATAGTAATTTGAATATATTCTATTAATAGCAATTACTAAAACAGTAATTACAAGAGTTACATGCAAGAAGGGAGCTTGTCAAAAAACTGAGAACATGCAAGAAGGGAGTTGCATGCAAGAAGGGAGCTTGTCAAAAAACTGAGAACAGTATTTCTTTCCCTCTTCCTTCCAAATTCCCTTTTATATCATTGCCTAGACTGAAAACTCTTTCGGAAGATATTGTCTTGCAACATATGCATCTTACTTTCCAACAAGATTCTTATCTTAGTGATGGTGATAATACATTTTTTTATATTCTTGGTATTGATTCACCAAACAGGCTCTGCTTGGTCCCTCCAGAGGAGGGAAGAGGATCATCCAGGTCAAATAGACAAATTCGGTTTCCAACTGTTAATTCCTCATGATTGTATTTACCTTCAATGAAAAGAAAATAAACCAGAAGGCAACAATCTAATCCAGTTCCATATAGCCAGCACAAGAATAATCCTGGACACATCATTAAGTTATGAACAGCTTCAGGAAATACCGTGGTTAATTTAGTAGGAGCTCCCATTGTGAAAATCTTGACGATCCTAGAAAGCAGGTCCTTGGCTGCCAGCCAAGGTCTGGTAGTGTCTTCCCTTGCCCTTGTGTATCCCTAGCCGGATACACAAAAGAAATTATGGATCTTTCAGTTCAAAACCAAAAACATACACAAATATAATGAGCACTGTTTTTCTTCCTGGAAGAATAGATAACCAATGGCTTGAAGAGTGGAGAATATACCTTTATGTTAGGACTACCTTTTCTTCTTGTGTGAAGCTCTTCTATGTCATCATCTATACCATTCTATCACAACACTTCTACTAACAAGCTGAGGTATTTAATTCATTATATTTTTAATCTGGCTGGTTTTTAACCTTTGCAAGAAAGCAAATACAAAAATACATAAAAACAAACAAGTACTAATTTAATGTTTCCAAAATATCATTTACCACTGCAGAATGTATTTACTGTGTAAAACCAATGTCAGAGGTGAAATTTCCTAGCTAAAATTATTTGAAAATTCTAGTATCTTCTATTCATTAAAAATTAATAGGGAGGAAGTTAAATTGCTTTGGGGTTTTTTTTTCCCTAGTTTTCTTACAATTATCCATTTTTTTCTTTACTTCTGGCTTCTACTGTTGATTCATTCCCTTTATGTATTGGGGGTTTTGTTGGGGGAAGTGCTGGAGAAACTGCAGTGCTGCTCTCAATAGCCCTTGAATTGCATCTGAACATCTCTAAGACAGATTTACAAATGTCAAAACATCTCCATGATCTGAATTTGTCTCGAACAAAATGTTAAAACAGTTTCTGGAATAAAGCCAAAAGCTCAGAATGGCAGGAACAGAGGAAGCATGAGGGCTGACATTTCCTCTAAGTCCAGCAGAAAATACTTCCTATTAACACCTCCCAGAGATACAGACTGTTCCAGTGAGCCATATGTGACTGTCTTCCTGCTATTAATTTTTGTGCCTGAAAGACTACCTCAATCAACACAATATGAGAGAGTTTGCTCCTGATACTTTTATGTTTATGTGTAGTTTATGTGTATGTGAGACAAACTCTAGTGCTTTAACTATACATTTTGACTCAAAAATTTCACTGCCTTACTGTGTATCAGAGAATGGCGATAGAATTACTAGCTTTAAGATAAAAACCATTATGTAATCAAATCCCAAGTTCTGTATCAACAGTATATTTTACAGATAAATGACAATTCCTAATCCTCTGTATTAATGGCAGCTATTCTCGAAGTTTTTTCAACACTGACAGCTAGAATGGCTAGATTATAGGCATAGAGAAAATAATGACAGAAACACCTGCACTGTCTGAAAGGATTCTATTACCTTACTATCTTTATTGAAGTCTAAATTCTCAGAAGAAGCAAAATAAGCAAAACCTTGAAATATTTAATGACTATGCTTACAAAAATTGTCTTGGAGAAACAGCTGTTGTAGACCATTTTCTAAAGTACATCTCCTTTTAGGTTTTCTTGTTTAATTAGATCTATTCTATGAAAAGTTGAAAAACTCCATGATGTTAGTTTCCTTTTCAATCAATAAAAACTCACTGGGAGAGAGCAGTAGGAAAGAGAGTGGGATGCCTTCTCTGTTACAATAATAAGACTTGGGATACATTGGTTCTAGTAAGATTTGGGATACATTGGTTCAGTGCCTGGGTCCCACACAAATTTCTTGTGTGAAGTCAAGAAAACCTTTTGGTGTTTCAATTATGTATCTGTAAAGCAAGGATAACCACTATCCCAGACAAGATTTTTTTGGCTCACATCTATTAACATGCTAGAGGTATTTAGAAAGTCATGTAGGAGAATTCCACTGACCATATACCCAAAATCAGTAGTCAAAATTACTGGAATGCTAACGTGTCAGGCAGACATCTCTCATAAAAACATACTTGCCTACTACCTGCAAAGAGGTCTCACAACAGCAGTTTAACATTTCTACAAAAACAAATTTCAAAATACAATTCAGTAAAATAATGTGCAGAGCAATGCAACCTGTTGTTGGGGAAAAGCAATACAAACCCTGCTAGCATTTATTACCACAGTGCTCAAGACCACACCACTCAGCTGGGACCTCCTTTATAGAGTGACTGACTTTAGAGGAGATACTGACATTTGGGGAGATAAAATCCATTAAGAAGACTCCCACCTCTCTGCGTCTGCTGTGAACACACCTTCTCTGATAGCACGCAAAGACCAGGGAACAAACAAGGAAATGGGTCATGATACTTTGGCAGGCAATGTGTCAAAGGAAAGGTGATCTTCTGTATATAAAGCTGGACTAAATAAACATTAAAAAACAATGCCACAGAAAATGATACATATGCTAGAGAACTAATTAAGTCTGGTTGGAGAATTGACTACATCTATACACTACGACTGCTTCATACAATATTCCCACGTTTCTCAGTCATTCTGTCTTTACTGCCCATCTGTAAGCCATATCTATATTTATCTCATACCTTCCAACAGCAAAAATCTTGGAAACCTGCTTAGAAAGATCTTTCAGATCTATATTTACACATGTTCAGTGACACTGTTACCTACACAATAGGTAATACTTTTCAGCTAAAAGGCTAGAAAAGTAACTAACAACATGAAAGTATAACACTTCCTTTCAATTATCCCAAAAAGCTGATTTCATTTCACAAAGATAGATTACTCTGAATTTCAGCAATAAATTTCTTTGAAATTGACACAAAATCATATTTTGAAAAGCATTGTGTTGGAAGAAAAACTTTCTCTATTATTTACATTTGTTAAAAGAACACTCAAAAGGAGCAAATTATAATACGGACTATGGCAAAATAGATATAGATAATGTATTCAGACCTAGCTGATAACCACAGGAAAAAAAAAAACAGGGAATCTGAGTCAGCTTAATAAAGCATCCTACTGATATTACATACACCATTTAATCCTCCCTCAGTCAGGGAGAACTGATTGAGAGAATCCTCTTTGCAGGTGTGACTTGTGGTGTTCTCTATGTTTCCTTCAGCATCAGCCTGACCTAGTTTTACATGGCATTGTAGGAAACCAGGTACATACTACTAGTTGTCTTTGCCCTAGGTAAGGGAGAACAGCCAATAGCTGGAGGGGTTCGGCTACTTACAATCTGGCCACAGTTGCAAAGAACCTTTGATTGTCTTAAAAAGCAGCTGATTCACTGAGTTCTGGTGGGCTTCTTTTGCTTTAGTCATCAGTAGCCTCTGTGAGCTCTGAGTACATTGTAACATACTCACCATCATCTGCTGAATATGAAATAGTTCAGCTCCAGTGGCAGAGAGGCGGTTTGGAATTGAAATATCAAGAAAAGCTCCAGGAAGAGTGCTTGGTCCAGCATTGTAAACCTGTAGCAGAAAAAATTAATACAAATAAAATTACATACTTGACTTCTCATAAATGGGAAACTACTGTAGATTCAGAGCTGGTAGTACAGGTAAATTTGAAGAAATACAAGTATACTTAGTAGGTTTTTCAATGTCTTCAGACTAAGACTTCTTTTTTAAGTGTCAGAATGAAGTCAAAGGATTAGCTTACCTAACAGTCTTCAGTCACAGCTCACATATCAAAGGAGAAGAAGTTTTGCAGGATATTTTATATACAGAGACACTGCTAGTACACTGAATGTTTGGTAATAAAATCTTGAAGGCTATAAGAAATATTACTGTCTCAGTTAACATTCTCATTTCCATCTGTTAACCACTGCATGATACTCTGCATATGTTTTCCTTACAGAGCAGAAGCCAAACAATTACTGTGACTATTGGACTGTGGGTTTTCTGAGTGAGTTGCCAGGAAATGCATGTGAACAACTTCCATTCAAGTACCGGCATTTTCAATTAAATTACACTTCTAGTGGAAAATATTAGCTTTCTATCACTCTGTGGGCCCCAAAATTTCAACAAAAGCTCAAAGAATTTCCCATCCACCACTGAAATGTATCCAGTTAAAATTCCAAAATTTATGGAGTTTTGCTGAAGTGAAATAATCCATGGAAAAAAATCAATTAAAGTAAGTAAGTACATTTTTTTAATTAGGAAAAATATTTTCTGGTTCTTTCTAACAACACAAATATAAATGCATTAAAAAACATTAAAGTAAAACCATGAAGCCCATTACAATATTTATCCACACTGAGATACTACTGTGAAAAGGTGTAACATGCAGTTGTTAATTGTGTAAAGTACAAATATTAAAACTAATAGGTTTTCATTTTTCAAACACTGTTTATATTTGAAGAAATGCCTGACTGATAAACAGAACTGGCCAAATCCTCTTCACAAAAGCCCTGAGGCTCCAGGCAGGGGGAGAAATCCCATTAGAATGCAGTTTGATAAATGCTGCATGAAATACAAACATAATGTTTCATGTTAGACATTTTAAAAACTTTATCTCAATAAGATCAGATATGAATTATTGCAGAAAAGGCCTTTTCTGTTAATATTTGATCTAGTAGAGATTTTCATATATAAAAACTGCTATAAAGGCCTATATTTTTGTAACCCATTTCTTCCTTTTTGTTAAAGACCTATTATTTTTCTCCATCTGGTGAAGTTAAATATTTGGCAGGAAATAATTAAGAAAGGAGTGATGCAAACAATGCTTTGCCTATTGTGAAACTACCTTTTCTCTCTGATACACACAGTTAGAAGGTTTACACCATTATTGGAGAGCAGATGTGTGACTTGTTATGGTATAATTTTCTACTTCCATATGGAAAAAAATATTACTATTGCAACTGCTAAGTGTGTGCATGAGAGACAAGAGCATTTGGTAGCACAAATGGTGGCACTGCCAATACACAGATTCTCTCTCCCATCCCTGTTATCACTGTGCTTTACTGAAAATATTTATCGAGTTAAAGCATCAGTGCATCCGTTCTTCATCTGGATTAACCAATCACCGGGTATGAAGAGGAGGAAGGGAAGACCTACAAACCCCAAAGAAGGAAACCAGAATCACAAGAATTAATAGCTGGATCACAAAAGCTTTTATCTTGAAATCCTGCTTTCAGTCCTTCAGTAAATAGCTAAGGGCATTGTATAACAGTGGAGGCTTAATTGCTGTGGGTCCCAATCTGTCCATGGAGACAGACATGTTATTTGTTATAAGCTGAGTTTTCAGCCTAGGAAAACAGAAAGAAAAAAGACAAAATACTTTTCACAATAAATGAACCTACCTCGGCATGACTTATCATTCCCTAGTCCCATCTCGCAGTCAAAAAACATTTGTAGGGCTTGTAATAGATGCAGTTACAGCAGTGCCAGTTAATGTTGGCCAAATCACAAGAGTTCCTTATAATAATCCATCCACATATTTTGCCACATCAGTAACTCATCTAATTGCCTTGTGAAGTGTAATATATAAGTAACACTTAAATAATGCTGAGGTGCTATGAGGTATTTATTGAAAGCTTCTCACACCTGTCTTTTTGATGATGCTGTTGAGTCAGGGACAGAAAGAAGACTCCAGTCTTCAGGTGGATCAGAATGAAAGTAGCGGGTCTTTTTATAATGTGACTCGCTAAGGTGATACTTGATTGGTCTCAAAGTAGAAACATCTCACACCATTGGTGAACTATGAATAGGACACTTTGGAAAACCGTATCTATAAAAAATGGTTACAGAAGGAGAGATAATAATTGTTTGAATTATTTCTCTAAGTTTCCCACAGCTTCTCCACAGCTTCCCAGGATTTTCCTGGGAGAACCATGTCTCCCTGTGTTCAAAGGATATGTAATTACTACATTTAGTGTCCTTATCTCTTCCCTATACTGCACTGCTATCAGTAGTGCTATAAATATTTTCATGCTGGGGCATTTAGCAAGCCTGAATCCCTAGCACAGATATGTTTGTTCTCTTGGATAAAGGCTGCTCACTCCTTTGCTCAATGACCATGCCACTAAAAAGATTTACTCCTCCACTCTTAAACTGTGGCTTCATCCAAGATGTGGCACTTGAGTAACTAGGGCTCTTTACTCAGCATGTGTAAAAAGGTGAAAGAGAAACAAATGGTAGGAGCTTTTTTCCCTATGGAAGTGAGATGCCATGTTTGTAATTCCTGTCATAATATAAATATAATATATTATATTTATATAATATATTATATTTATATTATGACAGGAATTTATATATATAATATATAAATATAATATATTATATTATATAAATATAATATATCCTTCAGATAAAGGACATATGCCATCCCTGCACGCTGTAAATATGGTATCCAGTCAAGAATGCATTGTACAGGGATGCTCTGCCTGAGTGGAGGTAAAACAGCTCAAACTAAACCCTATTTGTGAAAGTTACCCATGATGGATGGAGAAGGGTAGTCATACTGACTTTGGTGTTAAAGAGTGCTGAGGCTTCTGAGAAATGGATTTGTAAGGGATTCTCAAAACCTGACAGAGAGCTCACACAGTCTTGTACATCTGCATGCAAACATTGAGATAAGGTGTGCTGACTTAGGGAGGCCATGGAATAGAGATAACATTGTTGAGAGATTGAACTAGAAACGAGTTTCAGCAAGTTTCTAATTATGGCCCTGCAAAAAGACCAGATATTTTAGAGAACTGGAACTATGAAAGATGCATTGTAGCAGGACCACATGGGATAAAAATGTAGATGATTGGTGTTAGAAGTATTTGCAACATTGTGTGGCAAAAGCTAATAGTGAAGAACATTTATAAAGTATTCTAACCAGGAAATAAGTTGGCTTTGATATAATGGCATTGAGTTTTACATCTCTTATGTCTCACCCTTCAACAAGACTGATAAGGGAATAAAATAATTTAAAATGCCTCTCAGTTGCCCTGTCCCTGAAAAGCATGGACTACCAACAGAGACTGACTCATCAATCCCAAAGTTAAACATTCAGACAGCATTTCCTGACAAAAAACTGGTACCAGTGAGGATGTGACAGGCAATGTTCCCAATAAAGGAATCAACAAGTGGTAGTACAGATAACTTGTCTAAAGCTGCTGAGCTGGCACAGCTAGCCTAGAAACACATGAGTGACAGTTGATTACTTTATACTATAAAAGCTATACTATAAAAGTCCATGCATTTTATCAGCATGGACTTCTAAAACACTGCTTCCAGGAGAGTCTTTAGATTCTTCCCTTCAGTGGAGATGTTTCTCAAGGTTTCTCCTTGAGGGTGAGCAAAAGAGATTTGCTCACAGTTGTTGGTATGAGCGAGTACACCTATATAACCTTCAGACAAAAACTGTTGACCCAGTTGAGGCTAGGACTGGATCTAGTTGCACCTAGATTCCTCCCTGAGAAGAAGTTTAGAAAGCAAGGGAGTCCTTTCTGAACCTCAAAATTCAACAAGAGGGTCTTCTTTATAAACCTTGTCCAAAGATTCCATTCTGCCCATGACTGCGATGCAAAATCACGCACAAAAGCCCTTACCACACTCAGAATAAAATAGATACAGAACAAGAATGTGCTGTCAATCAGGAAACCAGAGCCAAAATAAGGATGAGTTTTACCTGCAGTGTGAAGTTGAGAGACTGGAAAAGGCATTCATGGTTTTCCAGCTGAACAAAGTTGGAAGCTGCCACAGAATCACCGTAGAAAAATGAAGTAGGGAAGACTTCTCTGTAAGACCGAGATACAAATTTAGTAAGCTGAATTTGTGACCAAAATGAAATATATTTGTGTCTAGCTGAATTGCACCCCTTGCTTTCTAGTCATGTGAAATTCTATGGGACCGTTTTACATTAATCTGTTTTTTGTGATTTGATTCCTCTTGGCAACATTAGACTACACAAGCAGCATCTCAACTGACATGGGTTAACATCCCACAATGAAGCAGACTTCTTTTGACTACTTATGCTTTTTTCTCCTTTCCTATCACAAATCCTCCTCTCTGGAGTCCCTTGGCATGGATGATTTGTTCAAGTCCCATAGCTTGGATTAACACAGGAAATCATTGCACTACCAAGTTAATCTGGAGAAACAGTATCTAAGAGGAATATTTAAGTTGCATATTCACTAAAGTAACATTTAAATTTTATTTAACATTTACATAGCATTTCAGGAATAAACAGTTAATTACCTAAGTTTTACTACCTTTATTATTAAGTACATGATTAAAGAAAAGATTAGAAGTGTTTTCAACTAGAGTAGAGCAGTTCAAGTTTCCTTAACCACTCTTAAAATGTAATCGCACAATAAAATTAAGTAGGGTTTTATCAGAAATTACTTGGAAGCACAACACAGTACCTAAAAATCCTACAGAAGAGGACTAGGAGTGCTTTAAGCATCCTTTATGTCCTCTTTGAATTTCAGGCTTCTCCACTATTTGGAAAGGGTCCTGGTGTAATTTCAGACAAACCTTAGTCCTCCCTACTGCCTAAAACTCTGCTTCCTTCCCAGGTTTTCCTTTCGAATCACAGCACTTTGAGACAGGATTTTAAGCCTGTTTAGGTACATTTCCTTTTTTCCTGCCTGCATCCTGTGCCAGCGATTGCTAGGGGAAACAGTGAAAGACAGATTTTCTCCTCCCATTTACAGTGTTATGCCAGAAAGCTTCTACCAAATATGGTACAAGCCATTCTGGACTGTTTATAACCAGGAATGAAGTTTGCTCCTCTAGATTCAAATGTAGGACAATTACACTAATAAAACAAGCTTCAAAAATATACTGTCCAAAAAGAAGAGTATTACTAATATTACTATGCCTAGGAATGTGCCCTCCAATAAACCCAACTTTTCTCTGGCTGCTAGATTTTTCTGTGGACTTTAATTAACTAAGGTTTGTCTGTGAGAAAGAAAAATATAATCCCCATAGGCACTTGCATGAGGCTTATAAATTCAGAGACCTTGTGCTTTAAAAAAGTACATTCTGAAGAGAAAGAAGAAAAAACAATTTTTATTATGTTTTGGCATGCAGTATTCTGTAGGTAACAGAGTTCTAAAGACACAGATGAAAGCATTCATATATGTAAAGCTGAATAAAAATCCACCTGTATCAAAGCATCAAGAAACAAGAGTTCAATTTCTAAAGAATTTGTAACAATGAAAGCATTCAAAACTGCCTGAAGCATGCTGCTGAGACTGTATCTTCAATACAGAGATTTTTGTCCTTGCTAGTCATCTTGTGAGGTTTGACAGTGTACTTCCTTTCTCTGAGAAGGCTCAAACAAATCTTTTACCCATTCTGACTGCTGTAGTAATTAAGGATTTTATTTCTATCCAACAAGATGAGCTTTATGAGACAAAACCCTGAGTCTAGGCCTTGGATCTGAGTTTATTCAGCTTTTCAATCAAATCACATCAGTGCAGCTTAACTTTTTTCTACACATGTAGCATAGTGGTCAAGAGAATATTTGACTTCTACAGATGCCAACCTGCACTGGTCATTTAGACAATACCTGTAGTCTGGAGGTTGCCATAGATGAGACACTGACCATCTGGGGACAGTATTAATGAGTTTTTGCTTCCCCACTTTAGGAATTAATGTCAGCCTTCTCAGTCTACATGAATACTAATTCGTGTTCAGTGAGCAGGTCCTCCAATTTCAACTCAAAGCACTGTTTATGCTAAAGAATGGTCTGACTGTTGAAACTGACCACAAACCTTTCATTCGAGGCTTAAGATTGTGATGCCAAGTGGTAGGGAAGAGCCCCAAGTTCAAAGGCAGGAATTCATACACATGCAGCCTTAGGGAGAGGACACAATGGCTATATGTTATACAAGTATTTCAGTCAAAGGGTGAGAGATGCTCTGCAGTTCGTACTCAGATGCCTCACAGACTAGGGAATAGAGGAAATAAGAAAATAAACAGAAGCAGAAGCAAATTCTGTTTGAGAAATTAAACAGTAAGGCAAACAGCTAGACTTTACCAATCTCCTTAAAATTCCAGAACATTTGACCCTAACCTTTGGCCTGGTGACTCTCAACCATTTCCTTAAAGACATGCCCTAAGGAACAAAATGTGGTTTACTTGTTCTTTTTATATTTAATTTTCAGGTCCATCATATCTACAGCATCACTTGAATTTGAACACATTTAAATTTTATTAAAATTATTTTTACATTTAATTTTGTTTGGCCTTTTATTTTGTGATTGGATAATTGGGCAAACATAACAACAGTCACTAAAATACCTTCTATAAATGTGATGGTAACTAATTAGCATTAATTAGGAAGTAGTGAAAATTAGGTACAGTCCTGAAATGAACAGAATTTCCAAATATTGAATGAGATTGTCTGAATGACCAGAGTCTGGGAGCAAGGAAAAAGCAACAGTCTGGCTACATGTAAACAAAGAAAATAATTCATTTTTTCACTGGAAAACACTCAGGTGTTATTCTTAGGATGATGATGATTATTATTATTATTGGTTTTGTTTTCATTTGGTGATTGATACTTACCCATTGATGGATGAGTCCACCTCATGCATCAGGGGCACAGAGAGGATTAGAGTATTATCATGCAGACACTCAGTGCATTCTAGGTTTCCACTATGTCAGAAAGGAAAAAAAAACATACTGCAAATCTACAGCCTTTGTAATATATAACAGTTTCACAGTCACCATCTCTCTGCCTTGTACTCTGAGCCTCTCTATGTGAGTGATATCAGGTCCTTAAGAAAGTTCACCCAAACTTGGAGAGGGCATACACAAAAAGCATGAGTTTTGTGGCTGTGACATGATCAGGCTCATTAAAAAAAAAGTATATTGGAACAAGGTGTGAATTCAAATGTCTGTGGGAAACTACAGCAGCCAACATACAAAGTGGAGAGAAACAAGAACATTTAGACTTCCAGGCAAGGACTCATTTTCTCCCAATTGACCACACACCAGTTTGTGAGGGACATACCTCACAGGGTCTTGACCCACCAAATGAATAAATGTTTTCAGTGTACCTGCACTGTACTATAGCACCAATTTGCTGCCACTGCAAGCAGGTTTTCGGGCAAGACCTTTATAGTGAACTGGCCATAACCTCTCAGCAATTCCACCCTCTCTTTCCCCCTCTTCCTGTATTTAGCTGCCAAAATGAAAGCACTTCTACTTTACGTTGTCAAAGGCAGTTGCCTCAGCCAGTCAAAACCAAAATAAAGAAAGGAAAAAAGTGAGCAATTAGGTCTCATTTAAGTCAGTTTGTTTCAGTGTAAATACTTTATATATGAAGTCTGGGAAAGGTTCCTGTAATGCATGTCGAGCACAGAAACCTGCAACTATTCTAATTCTGATGATCAGTCTGCTTGTTGGGTGACAGCTCAAAACAACAATCTTGAAAGATATGTTACATGCATTTCCAATTTCTTCAGCAGTACTCTGGAATCAATTTTGCCTTGCAGTTCATTGGATTTACTCAGAAATCAAATTGGCAAAACAAAAGATATGATCATATTTATTTGAGGACAGTATCACTGAGGAAACAGCAGGCAATAATATCCCAAGTGATTCACATGCAGATTATGAATTGCTCAGATTACAAAAATAGAGCCTGCTGGCTACATGCATGCTTACCTACAGCTCAGCTTTCTGCAACTGACACATTGCCTATGTCTGCTGATAAAATATGGCCCAGATAGAAAACCCCACAAATTTCACCCTGGGAAAGAGCCCCACTTAATAAAACCTTTTCCTCTGAATAGGCTCACAGAAGAGTCCAAAATCAAAACATTTCTCATTCAACATAAATACCGAGATACCATGGTGGCACACAAAATAAGCAAGTAGAATTCTACACAGGGTCATGGATATGTTCGTATCTGTTTCAAATGGAGTAAAGGTACTGTCAGAAAAGGAGAACACAACTAGTGAATCTAGCTCTAGAAAAACAGTTCACACCTGGAAGCAAAGAAGAAGGTTTGTTGTTTTTTTTTAAAAACAGCCAACTTGGGTAAGAGAAATATAATGTGATGTTTACTTATTTCTCTAATTGTTCCAATACTGAACCAATCTCTTGTCACAGATTCTACTGCCAAATTTGCAGCTACACAGGACAGGCTCAAGTAGACCCTTGAAAGGCAACACTTGCTTTCCCATGACAGCATGAACATAGCTTCCCTGACCAGCTATTTCTGCCAGACTAGCTCCAGTTCTGTGTGGAAACAATGCTTTCACCTATGGGAGTCTGACTGCACCACAGGTACATTTTCTCAACTTCCTTATAACTGACTTTACCTCAGGGCTCCCTGCAACTTTTGTGGTAGAAAGATTTTGTTACACTCATTTGACAGCAAGGGAATTAAGCAATTTGCCTAAAGTCACAGAGGAAATGAGGGTAATCAGCATTGAGACCTGCACTATTCTCTTTGGAGGTTCAGCCAAATCCTTCAAAACATAACTACCTTCTCTTAACCTTCTACAGTGAGGAACTTTCTCATAACATCTCTAAGCATGCACTCAATGTGTAGCAATTACTGTTTATTTCTTTGCTCATCTAAAGGTACAGACTAGTATTTCTCACTGGTAGGGCACAGAAATATAAGTGAGATTACAGAGGGAAGTCCTGTGCTATCCAAAGTTGGAAAACACTGGTTGTGCAAATTTAAAGCACTGCTGACCCATCTTTGCACCAACTGGCATTCACCTAGCAGATACTGATGTCTCTGACTGAGAAGCATCACAGGATCATCTGCACACATGATGAACATCCGATGGAGAATAAAACTTTGCCAACATGCAAGACATAGTGACATGTCTCACTTTCATTGTCTCATACCAGTTCTGTGTGCTGCAGGATCTTGTTCCCACCTACAGCTGTTACTGCAGGGGAGGACTATGCCTTGTGAGAGCAGTCACTCAGAAGCTGCTACATCTTATCTCTCATCTCTAGCTTTTTGTAGAGATGTCATCCCATTTGGGATCCTGATTTGGATAGATACAGATATGAAGTTGGCTCATTTACATAGTAAATGGGAGAAGGAACTAGTCAAACACCCAACACATCAAAGCAGCAGTTCATGGCCAATATTAACACAGCTGTGCATTGGTTCCCATACAGACATTGAAGTGCTTGAATCACCCATGTGAATCGCCCTTGATTCATGACTGAATCACCCATGCAGTATGCTTCTTCATGGTACATCATCTTAGAAGGCACAGAGCATGCGTCACATCTTTTATCCTGCCGAAGACAAATGCCTATGCATGCATACTTTGCAACACCCTACTTCAATGCCTTCTTGAAGTGCTCTTTGAGAAGTACATTATCTAGATGTTTTCCACAGTCTGTCATGGCTCACTGAAGATCCAGAGTGGGGAAAAATAGACACGTTATTTTAGAACCTAGCACTGGGATCCTTGACCATCTGATTAAAGCATTTATCTTTTTTGGTTTGCATCCCAGCATGTTAATTTCATTCAAATGCTGAAACAAATGGGTTGGGCTATCTTGTGTTGATTGTCAATCACAGCTGAGCTGAGTTTGATATATGGTGAGAATGATCCCTCAGAATGGCAACTGCCTGGCAAAGAAAACCTATGCATGATCCTTCCTCATTTTTCAGGAAGATTCAATAGATAGTTCCTCTGCATCACCAAAATACATGCATTTAGCCCCAGTAATTTAAACTAATTTACTACACATATATATATCTACAGCTAATACAATGTAATTGTCAAGCACACGTAATGCACACTTCATGTAACAAAGAATATCCAAGTCATCTAGACATATAAGGGTCCCCTTACCTTTGGGCAGTGACAAGGAAGGTAAGTGTTTCTTCCTGACCGGTCAAATGGCTTGTATCAAAGATCACAGTGAACTCATACTGCACAAAGAAAAAGCCATATTTAGAGACTCTGCATATTGTTTCGAAATGTATTTATTCTGAAATTATTCATATTTTATTGGCCTAATTTTACAAAAGTGGCATATTTTGATATGTATAAGAGCACTTCTACTGCAAATTACCTTGTAAGTCTTAGTAATTGTGTCTCTCTTCAAATACTATATAGTTTGGGTTTTCCATCATTAAGAGAAGACCTTTACTAGAATTGCTGTTCAAAGAAATTTCTTGAGGAAATCATCTGCCTGGGAATGAATCTTGCAGAACAGGAAGATCACTACCTGAAACTATGTCAGTGCCACTGTGTATGATATTTGTTGATTAAGAGATCTTTTGGGGGAATAAAGGCCACACCACAGGCCTGCACTTGGAGACTTGGAGCAAGCGGCACAAGTTAAAGCACCATTCAGGACATGCATCATAACGGGTGAAAACAGGTGCTAATTTTGAAATAAGAATTTTACTTTGGTGGATTACTTGTCCATGTAATTTTTCTGCCTAACTCCAAAACAGACTTTGGCCAAGTGAAACAGTGTTCAAATCCATTGTAATTTCAATGGCTTACATTCTTACATTCTAAATAATATTTTTGCTACTGCATGTATTTTTTCAATTCCATTTAAAATATTTTTTACTTTTTCAAAGTAGCACAAAAGAGTCAATTATAAAAACAGAAAACAAAAACTTTTATAATGGGCCAAAGGATACATCAATTCAAATGGAAAGGATTTGCTTTTGAAATAGAAACTTTCTGAAAAATTTCAGACTCATTTTTTTCAGGTCATCCTTAAGTTATTCCTCATTTTCTCACCTTTCTGGGTTGGTCATTTTAGTGGCAGAAAGAACACAGCTGGATTTTTTAATGTGAAAGAAAACAAAAAACTCACAGAAGCAACATAAGTAAGACAGAGAGTCCTTTTCTAATTTTTTGCAGAGGAAATACCACAGCTGCCACTTTTGCACCATTTTTCACAGCCATTTTATTGCAGTGCCCAGAGCAATGTCATTGGCCCTGTCTCGTGGGAAAAAGGATAGCTAGTCTCTGTAACTGTGAAAGGTTTCGATATCTGGCTTAGCAAGCTAGAGGAAGTATCAATCACAGACATTTAACAGAGCAGTTGGTTTTCCAGACACTCTTTGAGACAGAGGTAAATGGACTAATATTCTGCAAATGCAAATATCACAAAGTTACCCTAGATTTGGATCTCATGAAAGGAAATCCCACACTGCACTTGAGGAAATCTGACTCCAGTAACTCACAAGCAATGCCCAGCTCCTCCTACAAGAAAACAAAAAAGACCATGAGATTACAGATTTGGGGAGAAAAAGAAGATTGCTAAAGAAACACCAACGTGATGAAATACAATGGAAAATTAAATACTTCCCATCATAGCACTGTGCTGTACTTCCTTATTTTACATTAGTCAGACCAGCATTGGGAAGAAGACAGCTATAAGAACCTTGCTGTAAGAGATAGATCATGAAGAAATACTGCATGACTAAACCCATTAGAGTCAGGGGGTCAGCCCAAACTCTTGGATAACTCAGTTATTCCCTCTGTTTATTAAAAGAGAGCTTTCAAATGATCAAGAATGTAGGTTTTCTAAGGTAGTTTTTCCAGGTACCTGTACCATGAGGAGAGAATAGTGTTGGGAGACAGTGACCAAACCATGCAATACACAGATGCAGAAGAGAAAGTTAATCTGGTTCTGGTGACATTCAGTGCCCTGATCTCTTGCTCTGGTCCACAAGATGAGTCATGCTGGTATGGATACTAACCTTTAGTTAGATGGTGGCATAGATAAAGTAGAGGAATTAGCATCTCCTCATGCTAAACATTGACTGTGGACAGTCAATAATTCAAATGCAAAAAGTTAGAAGAGCCCTATCCTGCTTGACTGGTGACTCCACTACAAAAGAAATTCTTCTGGTGAATGGAGTGTTTAATTGCTCCATAAAATAAGTGCCTAGCTCCAGATGGGCACATTCCCATTACAAGATTATCAGGGAACAGTTTAATACTCTGCCACTGTGGGCAAGTTCATCTCGCTAAACTTTAGGAGTGTGATTCAGCTCTGGAATCTTGCTTTTAAAAGCCTACATAACAAGTGACTGCTATGTGATTTACATGTCATTGCTTCCATAGTAGTAAAAGGATGTAGAAAACAGTTCAGCAGACCAAATGCAGGTGTTTCATTTAGACTGGGTTGGATACCTCTCTACTGCTGATTACAGAATCACGCAAACTGTAGTGCTTATGGTATGCACTATAATACTAATGCCTAAATTTTGGATCTCTCACTCTATAAATTAATTTTATTCCAGACATGCAGATGAGAATCTCTTTGCTACAGAACATATAATGTATTTGCCCTATATTCACTATTTACTGCAGTTTGCAAAGCTCATGCTCATGTACATTTCCTGAGTTATTTCAAAAAAGTAACATTCTCAGCTGGAACAAGAACGAGTGGAAGGAGCTTCTTGAACCACGCATGTGGGTTATAGGCATCTCCAGGAAATGCCTCTCTGCCTTTTTCATTCTTACCTAAGTACAGCATTAGTGCTCTACAGATATTTAGCTTCAAAATCATGGTTCAAATCAGGCCACATATTTCTAGAAAATTATAGATCAAATACTATCTCTCTTACCTGACTCAGACAGTATTTCACTGGTTTCATGAGAAGCAAAAATAATGTAAGGAGAAAATAAGTGCATACCTTGAGATACCTAATGGAGTGACATTACTGCAATACTACTAAAATGCCAGAGGAGTGGCCTTCCCATTCAGTTTCTTTATGGATTTGCTTCCTTGCAGTCTTTAGTAGGCTGCCATTTCTGGAAATACGAAAGACGGCACTACTTAGCAAATCAAATATCTAGCTTCAGTAGTATGGAACTACCATCCACATATATGTTAGATTTTCTGCTCTAAAATGAACACAAAATAGACAAGAAAGTGCTTCATTGGCAAAACATCCCTTCCACTAGCCTTTTCCTCTCAGGAATCTGGAAGGTTCTCCAGTTTTATGAGAGTGATCGAGAGAACACAAAGTTTGAGCAGCTGCATAACCAAATGAAAAATTTCAGGGGAAACACCTGTTTCCCCTGAAAACATTCTTGGTTCAGGGTCATTCAAATGTCCCTTGCTAACTGAGGCAAACGATGAACTCTTCCATCAATGTCTAGCCTGTGCTCTGTCAAGACAGGTTTCTAATTACATAGCTGTCCAGTATGATGATAGTGAACAGACAGACCCAAGAAACTGTCTCCTCTCCTCAAGGCCATATCCCTTCAGAGATGTCAAAGACCCGGATAATTGAGAGAACCCTCATACTGATAACAGAAGAAGAGCATTTCTTCTTCATTTTGCACATTGATGCCTTTACAGACCAGACAGCTGGCAGGCAAATGTCTATGGTTTTATTGCCTGTAAAAGGAAATTACAAGATAACATTGAATTCACTGGTTTTGCTTATTGTTGCTTGGAAAAGTTTAACGAATGAAGGAAAATTTACTTGAATGGCTTTGTGGTTTCATTAGCATACTGTCCAGTTAATGGTTAATATTAATACTACATTACTGAAGTTCAGAGTGGAGAGTATGAAAAGGTTATTCCCTGAGAGGGTGGTTAATGAGCAACAGGCTCTCCAGAAAAGTGGTCAGGGCACCAAACCTGTCTGAGCTCAGAAAGTACCTGGACAATACTCTACATTATATGATTTAATTAGGGAGTCCCATGAGGAGCAGGGAGTTGGATTTAGTGATCCCTATGGGTCCCTTCCAACGTGAGTGATTCTAGTAATGGTGCACAATAAAATTTTCAATGCTAGGAAAAAGCAGAAGTGAGTTTGGTTTCATCATACTGGTTCAGCCTCTCACAAATTTACAAATTAAAGGCTACCCAGGAAACTTTTCCCTTGGACTCCTTGCCTTGCTCTGTGATTAAGATGGAGAAGCTCAGCTAATGAGTAAATATTTTGGTTTTCCTTCACTGCTCACTGTTTAGCTTCAGGCTTCAATTTCAGTGTGCTGTTCTGGAGGGAGAGAAAATTGTTTCTTTATGTGTTTTCTTATGGTGGTCAGCTCTCTAAACTCAATTTTCACACTGTTCCAGGAGGCTGAAGGGTTGGTGTTGTCTTATCTTACAAATAGGGAACAGCAGTGCAACTCAGGGCTTACAGAAACTGCAGATACCATTTCTTGATACCTAACTCCTGATGTGAGGTCATGCTTTCAATGAGCAATGTTTCTCAATGACTATACAACCCATCTGAAAAACTCAGCTTACTGCATGAGCTTCATAGCAGCTCCTAGTTTGCATAGAAAACATCGCCAAAAACGTTGGCTGTTTCCCTTCCAACAAGACAGTGTGAAGCTTTATCTGGAAAACTTTCTTTCTGAAACATTTCAGACTGTTACATACTCTTAGTCAATCAGACAAATAATCAGATAATTAGTGAAATAACTGTATTATTACTTCATCGCAAATGTTGACCTGGTTATGAGAAATATGAAGCTCAGGCTGGCTCACAGTCTGTTTCTCGAAGTTCTTTATCAAAGAAAAGAAAGGTTCCTCATCATTATAACATGAGTAATGAAACACACAACTTCAAGACATTGAAATTTCCTCAGCTTCATCTTGACTTACCATTTTCAAATTAGATCCCACATGCGTTTTTTCCCAAGTGAGTCTTGCATAGCTGGTGTGGGATGACTTACTGGCTAGCCAGTACAACCTGACCATTCTCTCCCTCACTTATGTCCAACCAAGACCCTCCAATCTTCCTGAGCCTGGCAGTTCATATAATTATATTTGGTTTTTATTTTTCCCAACCTTAGCAACATTCATTTCTTCCCCAAAGGTAGAATGACTCCTCTGAACTGATGTTGGCCTTGGCACCAATCCAGAGTCATCACCTCACTTCCTCAACTTTCTCCCCACTCATCTCCACCCATGACTGGTTGCAAGTTCCTTGCCTAAAACATCTCCTTAAGTAATCTGCCCCAGCCCATAAACCACCCTTCAACACTGGTACTCCAATACCAGGCTTTTATCTATCTGACAACTCTTCTACCATATTATGACTATCAACAAAAGCCAACATTCATGTAATTTGTGTTATTTTGCATTCACCAGTGTTCTCACAGAGAAGGTGTGAATTCAACTATTCTAACACTCATTTATGACCTGCTAGCTCTTTGCTTTTCTAAGCACACAAACTATGAGTAGATACTGCATCTGCAGTGTCAATAAGTAGATGTAACAGAACAACACTAAACATGTGAAGAGGATATGCCAGATGTGACTCTCAATACAAAGTGGTATTATTTCTGAACTTAAGGTAATTATGTATTATGTTGAATACTGCTGACTATCTGTGCCAGAGTTCACATCATATTTTTAAAAACTCTTTGATTACCTGTTATTTTTTAAGGAACTTTTGATTAAAACCACCAATGAAAGGCATTGAAACTTCATTAAGGAATTATTAAAATAATCTGTATATTTTTAAAAGGGAAAAAACCTCAAACTGCTAGAAAATACATTTGCCAGCAGTTTATATTTCTCTTTCCATAGCTATACTCAAAGGTCTTTTTTTTATTGTTTAAACTGAGAAAATCCTCCTCGCAAATCTTGGGTACTAGTGCACACATTCCAGAACTGATGAGAAAATGTCCTGGAAGTCTTGTGTGGTTGGCAGAACACTCCTGTTTTGAAGATGTTGAAAATTTTCTTAACTTGTTCAGATTTTTTCTTGTGATGCTAGTTGTTTTCCAAAGCATACAAAAGCAGAATAACAAGAGTGAAGGGTTCCAAGGAACCCTGCATCTGTTGTCAGAGCACACACTCTTGTTACTGCTTTCCTTGTTGTTAATAGTTTTCTTGATCTATGGTGCCTGTCTGTGAACCAGTGCACTTCACACCAAAGAGGATCATGATCACCAAAGAATATCTTCATCCAAGACATCTTAAAATAAATTTCCTGAGAAAATATCACAAAAGGGGACTACTTGCACGGTCTACCTCATGCTATGCTAAGTCTCAAAAGTTAGGTACTATGCATCTACCTACTATATCCTCTCTGGCATATAGACTTTATAACTATTCCCACTAGCTATTCTGAAATTCTCTGACCTGCACCAAAGGTAGAGGCTTACACTGGGCACTGGGAAAATTTGCTAAATTTGTACCATTTTTTTATTCTCACTATGGACCCTAAAAGGCATACTTATTCCTCAGTAACTTCAATGTGAACTTTTTGTGAGAAAGGATA